ACACGCCGCCCACCTCTGCCACCTGTTTGTTTTACCCCTCCTCTCTCTCTCTCTCTCTCTCTCTCTCTCTCTCTCTCTCTCTCTCCATATTCTTGTGTTGTTGACTGTAGCAAATCGATTAATTATCAAATTTAGAAAACTAAGCAGAACATGCCTGATATATCAATTGTAATATTAAGTGCCTAACTGCTCAATTTTTTTTCTTTCCAGTTGAGTTCATGCTCTGAACAAACGAGGGGTGTTTCCAAAAGAATTTGAGGCTTTAAGATATCTGGCCGTTTTGTATGAAGTTTTTGTTGTGAAAAGTTTTGTTCTTGGTTCCTGACAATCAACCACATTTTCTAAGTTTGAAAATAGAGGGTAAAAATTAATGAAAGACAATAGCAGTGATCCTGAAACTGAAAGTTACCCCCTGCCCATGATCCATCAGCTTTCTTCAAGATCACTTCCACCATAGCCACTTGGTATATAGTGCTTGGTCTAGACTTATCTGTAAAGTGCTGTCTTTGATTTGGATTTGTATATGATTGTTGCTTCAATTTTTTATTTTTGGAATTTTGACATGGAAGGCATGATGCTTGTGGTTTGTAGGTTGTTGGGTACCTTAACAGCAAGCAGGTGCCGTTCAAAAGAATGATTTGGGAAGCAATGAACAAGGACTAATGATAAGGTAATGCCTTTGGAAATCCATAAATTTTATCATATGCGTGTTCAGAAGGATTCGATGCAATGCTAGGGGCTTTCTTAGTTTCTGTTTGTTCCATGGTTTCTTTTTATTTGTTGTCTATATTTTTGGCGTTTGAGTCTTTAGATTGAAAATCATGGAGGTTATGTAGTTAATCATGATTATCAGACCCTGCATTATTTGCCTCTTCATTCTCCTTAGCTCTGTGATTCTGCAGGAATTCTTCAATTTTAAAACTGACCTCCTTTCTTGTATTTGAGTTTATGTTTGCTGCAGCCTGCATGTCATATGTGCATTGTGATCTGAAGCATAGCCTTGGAAGTCTCATCCAGCTTAGAGTTCTTGCCTAGTTCTGAACTGTTATTTGAGTCACACACTGCATAACTGTGTTGAAAGTTTTCACTTCAATCTTATATGCATTTGAATTATTTTTTGATCTTTCGACTATT